CCCAGAGACCTCTATTGACCTGCCTGCTGCTTCAATCAGCAGTGTACTTTGTTGATCTGTCTGTTCTGCTCCCCACTCTGTCTCTGGTGTAGCCTCTCACCCTCCGCACCTCTGGCCTCTACCCCAGTTCTGTATGCGTAAATAAATAAATCTTTAAGAAAAATATAAGGTTAAATTTAGAAGTCAGTGAAGCTAGAACCATGAGATGGTTTAATTTAGTGAAGAATTTGAAGCATTGCACTGAAGCTCCTCTTTTCTAGGTGACTTCTTTAAAATCCAATTTTTTTTCTTCACAGCTCCACTCTTAACTTTAATGTGTGTTTTTAATCTGTTGGTTGCTTCATTTTGTTATTATTTTACATAGAGCAATAATCCAATAGAGTTCCTTTCCTGTCTGATTCTTAGTTTTGGAAGAGCTGATGGCGACGCTGTTGAGGATTGTAGCCTGCTAGTGAATGGAAATTCCTTCACTGCTGATACACTAGGTTGTTGCCTCTACTGTTAGCCCTCTTGATCAGATTGTAGTTACTGTAACTCATTAGTGCTAATTCCTTTCATGACTGTTTCATTCCTTTGAGAAGAATGACAGTGGTTTTACTAGTTAGCAGTGATTTTTTTGAGTGATAATTTTTTTTCAACTTTGCACAACATTGTCTAGTAGGTCTTTATGAATACTTTAAAAAATATATCATAGTTTATTTTTACGTCATTTTATGCATTATTTTTCATCTCAGTTAGACTCCTGGTGGGCTTTCTATCACCAAATCACCTTGTGCCATCGCCATAGTCCAGTGCATTTCCCTCCCCCCACTGTTTTTGATCCCATTCCCCACTTCACCCCGTAAAATGTTTCTTATATATAGTTGTTCATTATTATTATTATTTTGTCGCCTGATCCGTTATATCCCTGCTATGAGAGGAAACCATCCGGTATTTTTCCTTTTCTTTCTGGCTTATTTCACTAAGCATGATCTTTTCCAGCTCCATCCATGTTGCTGCAAAAGGGATGTGTGTTTTCTTTTTGGTTGTGAGTAATATTCCATTGTGTATATGTACCATATCTCTTTAATCCAATCATCTACTTTTTGCGTAGTTGTTTCTCTTTTCCATTATCTTTCTCTCTTCCCTGTTCAACTTCTAAGAGGAAGGACCTAGTCTGGACGAGCTGGGTAGTCATCAATAAAGGATGATGGACGATTTGAACTGAACTCAGATCTAACTAGGAAGAGATGAGGAGAGGCAGGAAATAGTGTCCAGACAGATTGACTTGCCCAAGAAACTTAAATATAGGTAAGATATGACAAAGACTTTTAAAAGCTGGCTGTGGTGGAAGCAGAATTACGTTTTACATTTAGGAGAGGCTAATTGATTACATGGTTATGAAGTTGAAGAGGAAAGAGGCTTTAAGGAGAATTCAAGTTATTGGTTTGAGTACCTCTATGAAAGGTGTGACTGCTGCTGAGACAGGGAGTGTTGAGAGAGGGCTGGGACATAATGGACTTTTGACATTGAGTATGAGGAGGTTTTGAGATATTTATTTGAAGATGTTACATGAACACTGGGGACTGAGAATGAAGGTAGATGCTTTTAGATCATGGAACCTTGACTGTAGTGGACATTTATCAGAGAGAGAGTAGAATGAAAAGAGAGGATAAGCTAATAGTGAGAGCCAGAGAGATAGAAGAAAACTAAGAATAGGACATGTCATAGATATAGATGAAGAATTTCAGGAAAGAAGTTATGGTAAGCAGTGCAGATTGCTATGAAAAGTTCAAGTAAAACAAGAACAAAAAGTGACTGTTTGATTTTGTGTCAGAGGGCCTCCTCAGTACAGATTCCAGCTAATTCCTCCTTTGCCCTTTTCCTCTGAGTTTCTTGCCATCTGTCTAGCAGCCCTCTGCAGTTCTGATGCCCTCCCCAGAGACTAACGAGACAGGTTGCAGTGGCCTTTGCCATCCTGTCCTTGGCAACAGAAGTGTGTAGACTTGGAATTCCTTTTTGAGATTCACAGCTGTACGGGTTCATTTAGTACCTTATATTCAGTTTTCCAGCATCCTTAACAACTCTGTGCATATTTAACCATTTACTTTCATATTCTGTATCTTCTGAACTTTCTGCCATAGAAATTGTAAATTTGGGCATACTCTCTTGATCATAACTTCATTCTGTATATGATCACTGCCTCCTCTGTCTGTCCTTGGTCTAAGATGAGGCTTCTTGTTCTTTAATCCTTTACCCTTTTGTCATGAGCTTTCTGTTCTTACTTTCCACCCAGTTTAAATCACTTCAACTACTCAATATCTCATTATCTCAGTATTTCATCACCCTTCTTTGTATCCATATGGCAAAATCTCAGCTCTGGCTTAGTTGCTAAGTGCCCTTCAAAAGAACCACACTGTTGAAATGTACTCTGTGAGTGAATAGTTAGAGCTCATACTTAAGGAACTGACTTGACTAATGACAAAATTAGTGTTTGTTGTGAAATACTAGATGTTTGATGTAGATATGTTTCTTATATAGCTGACTATGTAGAATAAAATTTCTTAAACTGATTTTATTTTACCTGGCATAAAATATCAATGGAAACAATACTCCTTGAATCTGGCAGCCAGTATTCTATACTGTGGGCTTAAAACATGTTTTCTAATTGGTCCCACATAACTTGCTTATAGGTCTTTATCCCAGCCACAGTTATTATGGCTCCTTTGCAAACAGTTGTGGTTGTTTTCCCCCCTCCCTTCCCCTTTACAGCCTTAGCCTCAGTTTTGCTTATGCTGCAGATTATAGAAAAATCTTTACCCATTCCATCTACAAGTTTTGCTTATTGCTTTTGCTTTAGCCTAGTGGAAATCCTGCTGTTTTGGGAATATTTTTTTCATCTGCTTGGAAGAATATATTGCCCTTCTAATGTGCCATATCTCCTGCCTTTTTAGTACATATGTCCTTTACTTTAGTCCTGTTGATGAGCTTCTTGCATATATGTCATTAAAAAAAAAAATCACATGCAGATCTTGTCCAAACACTGTCGGTCTATTTCTTTGCGGGTGTCTCTTTTTCCTAATAAACCTGCCTCCCCCCCCCATATTTCACATTAAAAAAAAATATATAATAGTTTATTTTTACATCATTTTGTGCATTTTTCCATCTCAGTTGTAATCCCCTTGTGCTTTCCATTACCAAATCACCCATGTGCCATCACCATAGTCCAGTGCATTTCCCTCCCCTCACTGTTTTTGATCCAGTTCCCCACTCCACCCCCATAAAATGTCTCTGGTATATAGCTGTTCATCATTATCATTATTTTTTCGCCTGGTCCATTATATTCCTGATATGAGAGAAAACATCCAGTATTTTTCCTTTTCTTTCTGGCTTATTTCACTAAGCATGATCTTTTCCAGCTCTATCCATGTTGCTGCAAAAGGCATGTGTGTGTTTGGTGTGTTTATTTTTTTGGTTGCTGAGTAATATTCCATTGTGTATCTGTACCATATCTTTTTAAACAGTCATCCACTTTTGAATATTTGGCCTGTTTCCATGTCTTCCAATTGTAAATAAATCAGCAGTAAACATGGGGGTGCAGGTATCTTTTGGAATCATTGTTTTTGTGCCTTTTGGATATATACCTAGGAGTGGGATTGCTGGGTCGTAGGGAAGCTCCATGATAAGCCTACCTTTTTAAAATGAAAATTCGGTGAATCAGTCACAAACATTAGAAATGTAAGAATTATCTTTTTTTTTTTTTAAAGATTTATTTATTCATACAGAACTGGGGTATAGGCCAGAGATGCGGAGGTTGAGAGGATTCACCAGGGACAGAGTGGGGAGCAGAACAGGCAGATCGACGAAGTACACTGCTGAGGGGAGCAGCGGGCAGGTCAGGAGAGGTCTGCCATGCCATGTGGATCTCCTCCGGGGCAGGTGGGGATCGAACTCATGCGGAAGTGGCTTTTTCTTAGTTCAGTGCTTTAACCCACTGCGTCACCAGGGAGGGCCGTAAGAATTATCTTTTATGTGGTTATTTATCCCATGGTGCCATTGATAGAAGAGTGCTTAATAAATGTTGGTATATGTAAATTCATATGGAGATATTTTTATTATGGCATTATAGGTATAATTCTATTTTGATACACAAACATGCGATTGGAGAAATCTTTCTGACACACTTTTAATTCATGTTTTTAAAAACTGGGCAAATATGTGTTTATCTGATTAATAACTATGGTTAGAAATCTGCCATGGTTTTGAACGTTAAACTCTATTTTAGGACAGGTCTTCTCCAAGACAAAACCTAGCTGATCTGATTTTGGAATCATCATCTGCAACTTTCCCTGTATGAGTGTTAACTCTGCCCTCTTGTGGTTTTCTGTGAGAAATGTTTTAAATGAAAAAAATTCCACTGACCAGAGAAACTTACAGATTATTAATTAATACTTAAAGAAAAAACAAACTAGCTTGGATAGCATATATTTATATAAAGCTCCGGGGGAGAAGGCTCACATGATTTTCAGTTGGTATAGAGAAATTTCAGCAACCTCTGAATTTTTATATTAATGTTAAGATATTGACCATAGTTAAACTTGAAAACTAAATGTAAATGCCTAGTATTCAAAAAGGGAAGGATTTTATTACATTTTAAAGTGGGCTTGTTTTTAAGACTCACTGTAATATGAGACATACAATAGATATACAAGGTGGCCTGAGACTGCAGGCAAAAGAAGGATTGATTTTTACCATGTGGGGCTGGATTAATCTGAGGTGCTCATTAATATATTTTGAAGTGTTCAAACGTTACTCTGTTACATGAATTTATAATAAGTTTGGTAACATTTCTTTTGGCATAGATGGTATATTTCTTAACATTGTAATAACTTCTTAGCAGTATTTTAAAAACTTACTATAAAAATTTACTTCCTTTTCAAAGATCTGTCCTCAACTTTTAAAAAACTATTATTTGAATTCTAAACAGTAAATTTCACACTGATATGGCAGAATAATCTTTATATTTTGAATTTTATCTTGTGAGTGCTACAGTCTTTCTGAAGAAGCCACTGTCTTTGACAGCTGGAGCAATAGAGCCTTTGTGTAACTACTGTGCTGGAAACCCTGTCAACTTTCCTTGGAGTAATAATTTTAGAACTAGAAGAAAGTACTAAAGATTTGCTTGGTGTATTGCTCCTTTATCTTTAAAAGAAAGCACATTTTGGCTTTTATTTCTCTTCAGAGAAATAAAACAGTATTTGTTTAAGAATTTTAAGGCTTTCTACTTATAACCTGCCAAAAGAATACCTTGCCTTCCCTCCTCAAACCTCCTCCCTCTTTCTACCCCAGAAGATTCTATCTTACCCCTGGTCTGTGAGGTACAATGCTGTGTGATTTGCCACTATGAAAAACAGTGTAGATTTGTTCTAAAAACCGTGATTTTAGAAACATTGAAACATTAACTTCACAGCAAATTGGGAGGCCACTAGGTGGCGCAGTTTTGTGGTCTTTTTTTTTTTTTCCAGTAGTTACTATGGTTCAGAGGAAATCCTTTCAAATTGTGTCTCCTGATTTGGAACAGTGGGGTGTCTGCTCCTAAAGAGTACATCTTTTTGAAGTTCAGAAAAACCTTAAAATGAAAATACAGCAGTATGGCTTGTGCTGAAGCATTTGTGGTTCAGTGCAAGTAAACAGGGAATATAGTTTTACAGGCTTTTTGGAAAAGTCAATAAACTGATGATGATTGGAGGATAAGGAAAGAGTGCAATGTCATCAGAATTGATAGGTGCTTAGATAATGGTTGGCTCAGTCAAGCATTTGTTGACTCTAGTTTAAGGTTTTTTCACTGGAAACTTATGGCATAAACAAAGGGAAGGCAAAGAGGAGAGGAGAGAGGAGATGAAAGAGGGAGAAAGAAAAAGGATAAAAGTCACAGAGTGAGGTCCTTTAGGGATAGAAGGGAATATGAAGGTACAGGGAGAAAAGTGATTTTAGCAGATTAAAATAGAGAAACCAACTGTGAAAATATCAATTGTCACAGTATAACTTCATAACATCCATTCACTAATAGTTTAACAATTAACTTTTTTGTCTGTATGACTGTAGACAAATCTAAAGAAGATTTGTTGTTTCAGGTGTACTTTAGGAAGTTAAACTGTATCTTTTACCAAAGCTCTAGACTTTTCTTTATTTTCATATCTCTAGAGTGTGTTACTAAAGGAGCCTTGCTGGTTGTTGATATATGTGTAGCCATGTCTTATGTTTTTGATTTCACTTTTATGGGATAATTTGCTTTTTAGTACCCCTGCTTTTCAGTTTCTAGGTTCTATGTAAATAAGAGTGTATGTTTTGGAGGAGATTTTCATTAATTTAAGCATTAAGAAATATGTTACAGCTTTTGAAGGGATATTGAAAGATCTTTCCTTTAGGAGTCTCACTTTTTAATTTGCCTGAAAGAGAAAGTGACCTGCTTAAAAAGATTTCCACCAAAAGAATCTTTACACCAAAAGAATCTTGCAGTTTTTTTTCCTATATCTCACTTAAAGTCCACTTGGTCTAACAAATGCTCACATTCTTTATCACTGAGAAGCATTTAATATAGCATCTGCTTGCTTGTACATGGTGCACTTATACCAAAACTTTATTATTTGCATATGGTCCAAAATGTTAGCAAACAAAAGAACAAAAATATTGAAGAAACACATAGTAAGAACAAATGAATTTGAAAAATGTGGAGGGTATTGAATAGCTATGAATTACATGCCTAGACACTGAGAGGCCTGTGAAAGTCATTACCTTTATTTCTCATTCTTTCTATTTCTCCATATTCTGACTTCAGGTTGAGAACAGCTGGCTGCCATCCTCTTTGTAAGATCATTTATTGTCACTTCTCTTCCTCTTTTAAAGGCTGCAAATAGTCCAGTTCCTTTCATCTTTCTTCAGATGTTTTACTTTTCATCCTGTTAATCATCTTTGAGTCTTTTCTGAATCCGTTCCAAGTTTTATTTTTCCTCAACATTCCTTTTCACTTTAGAAGTACAAAACTTGACACAGTGCCCTGAGAGTTTTTGACCACTTTTGAGATCAGGGGAGGAAGATTTCACACTTGTATATATGCCAGTGTCTATTCCATATAATCTCGATTATGTTTGCTTTCCAAAAGTATAGTTATATGGTGCTGAGTAGTTGTCAGATTTTTATCTGCTATGACCTTGATCTTTTCCTCTTATGTTTATTTATAGCTTGTACATTCATCATCTTTTATTTATGGAGTTTATTTTTCTTGGCAGGATAGATTGCTTTGCACTGTCCTCATTGAAATTCAGTCCCTAATTTTCTGATTACTTCATCACTTACTCAATGTCATTTCCATTGTTGCCTTCCAATGTAGCTAACCCTTAGACTTCCTAGTATCTGAGCTATTCAAGTCAATGATGTAGATGCTAACAAATAAAGGGGTGGAAATAAATGTCCAGGAAACATGATTTCAGATTTTACTCTCATGATCAGCCAACCTTCGTGGTAGAGAGATATTTCTGTTCCCCTCCCTTTATGTTTTTTATACTTTTTAGGATCTATTTTCTTACCAGCAGAGTCTGGTAACTATGTCCACACAACTGTGTGAAGGAACAAAGAAAGCTTTGTCAGAACAATTCTTTTGCACACTGCCGTCAGATTTCATCTTAATCACTGCCTTGTATATGTCTCTTCCTGTTGGTATCTTTCAGTGGTTTCACACTTCTTCTGAGTTAAATACACATGTTCTAGTCTACTGTTCAAGGCACTTTGTGCCCACAGCCTCCCTTTCTGGCCTGATTGTCTGTAACTATGTAACGTGGTAGTCATTCGCTGTATCTCTATCTCTCTTGCACTTTCTCAGAACTTGGCTTGTTTACTTGTTTGCTCTGCTTAAAATGCTGACTTTTTTTTCATCTGATTTTTTTCATCATGATTTAAAGCTAATTTTTTTCATGTTCCTTTCTTTCTGAATTTCTTTAGTAGATACGATTGTTCTCTCACATCCTCTAGTTTTTCACTCTTTGGGGGACTTATATTTTGCCCTGTATTGCAGCTATTTGTGTGCCTTACTTTCCTTCCTCGTAGATTATAGCTTTTGATAGATGTTTCTTCCTCATCTTGGTAACTTTGGCTGTATATAGTATATATTTGCATAAGTAATTTCATATTCTTTTTTCTTACAATATATGGGTATGTGCCACATAGGTTAAATCTCTTTGAGTACATTTTTTGGGTAAATTTGATTTAAATTCTAGTGTAAGTCCATTATCTAGTTATCTAGACTGGTAGCAAGTTCTGTGGCCTAGGAAATGAGCTTCCCTTCAGTAGCATTGTTATAGTCTACTTTTCTCCTTTAAAAAAAAACAGAAGTAATTAAAGGTGTATAAAGGTTTATTAATCATTAAACAAAAAATATTAAGTACACTAGTTTGCTTAATTAAAATTGTATTCTGACAAAACTTTTTGTTTTCTAGAAACTACCCAACTTTGGCCAATATTGAAAGAAAGAACAGGTTAAAACTTGAAAAGGAAAAGAGAGGAGCAGTATTGACAACAACACAGTATGGGTAAGTTCATTCAACTGTTTTGCATTCTCTGTTTATTTTAAAGAAGTATACTTTTAAATTATAAAAAGTATACACCAAAAATTGTATTTGCTTAGGTAACATATTTTTTTTACTTAAAAAATCATACTGCCCAGGCCCTCCCTGGTGGCGCAGCAGGTTAAAGCACAGCACTGAGAAGCTAAAGCCACTTCTTCATGAGTTCCATTCCCGCCTGCCCGGGAGGTGGCCACATGGCGTGGCAGACCTCTCCTGACCCGCCCGCTGCTCCCCTCAGCAGTGTACTTCATCGATCTGCCTGCTCTGCTCCCCACTCTGTCTCTGGTAAAGCCTCTCACTGCCCCTGAGCCTCTGGTCTGTACCCCAGTTCTGTATGAACAAATAAATAAATCTTAAAAAAAAAAAAGTATGCCCAATATATAGTTTCCAGAAAGTTTTATAGTTAACAAGTCTTTTCTATTTTTGTCTCCCTGCTAATGCTTTCCTTCCCGGAGGCATTTGTTCTAGTCCAGAGCCATTTCATGTGTATACAGCACATAAGTAATAGGTTTTTTTCCCTTTTTTAAATGCTTGTCTGCACCTTTTTTTTTATTATAAAATCAAATTTCCCACAATAGAATGAAAAAAATGATTATTTTAATAAATAAGGAAAAGGTTTTGATACAATTTAAGATCCATTTGTGAAAAAATAAGAATCAGCAAACTAGTAGTAAAAGATAATTTCCCTTATCTATAAAGGGTTAAAAAGTAAGCAGAAATCATAGTTAATAGTGAAATACTGATCAGTTTTCCCCTGAGATTGGGACAAGGATGTCCACAAACACCACTTTTATTAAACGCCATATTGTAAGGCCTTGCAGTGAAGCAACAAAAAGATAGAAGATATAAAATATGAAAAGTAAGAAGTAAAACTTTTAGGTTTTAGAATTAATCTGATTATATCCGCATTTTTTTACAAAAAAATGCAAAGTCTACAGTTAGAATTAACAAGTGTGTTTAGCTGGTGTGTCAAATACAAATAAAATCATTATTTAAAAGACACTGTTTCTATTCATTAGTAATAAATAATTAGAAATAGGAGGAAATGTGCATATTTATATTGATAAAGTGTAATGTTGTATGTTCTTTTAAAAGTATATCACAGTGTTTTCTGTCTTTGGAGCCATTGAGGCTGGTCTTTAATGTACTGAGCTATAAGTAATTGATTTGACAACTAGGTTTCTTTTGAATTCATTATTTTATCCAAAATACTTTGAAATGTCAGTGCCTTTTATATTAAGAATTATATTTTTCATGCTTCAGCAAGATGAAGGGGATGTCCAGACATTCACAGATGGCAAAGATCAGAAGTCCTGGCAAACATCACAAATGGAAAAATGACCATGTTGGGCAGAGAGCAGTCATTGGATCAGGCGATTACTCAAGCAATTTGAAACCTGAATGTTCACCTGAGGCGAATGCAGACCCTCTGAGTGTTTTGGTGAACACGGATTCTGGTAAGATAAACAGGAAATAATGTGTTTTGTAAGAGTAGTCAATGGTGCTGAAGTTAATTCTTCATAGCCTGGTTTGTGGAGATTCAATGGCAAATATATATATAAAAAAGTAGTGATATTTTTGTTTTTCATAGGCATAAGGACCAAAGTGCTGCTATCAAATACAGATAGAGCTTTCTGCCTCTCAGATGTTTTCCCTCTGAGAAATAAAAATGCATGTGTAAATTATTCTAGCACCTTTCCTTCCAGTAACATATTTATCCTCCTGTAAAGAAGAGAATGGTACCTATCTTAATCTATTTTAGAGTTGTCATGACTATCAAACAAGGCAACATATTTGTGCAAGCTTCAGAAACTTTTAAGTCTCCTTAAAAATGAGTAGACAAGCACCAGGGACTATGGTCACAGTGCACAGGTGAATTGGTGGTGGGAATTCTATGAAGACTACACCTGAGAGGAGAAACCAAACATTGTACAAATATGAACAATGATGTAAAATATATATAAACAAATTATATTTTAAAAAATGAGGGCCCTCCCTCATGGTGCAGCGTGTTGAATTACAGCACTATGAGGCTAGCCTTGGCCTCTTCAGCATGAGTTTGATCCCCAACCAGGGAGGTGACCCATATGGTGCTGCAGACCTCTCCTGTCTCACCCGCTGCTCCCCTCAGCAGTGTAATTTGTCACTCTATCTGCTCTGCTCCCCACTCTGACTCTGGAGAATCCTTTCATTGCCTCTGTACCTCTGACCTATACCCCAGATCTTTATGCATAAATAATTAAATCTTTTTTTAAAAAATGAGTAGACAAAAGGTACAACATATCTGTAAAGCCCAAGAAACTCTTTCACTTAACATAAAATAGGAAAGAATGTTGTCAACGCTAGTCATCTGCTACTGATTGTACACCATAAGCCACTTGCTGAGGGTTTACATGGGAGGAAATTTGCTAGCAGTTTCTATTCACATGACAACTTGTGGATACCAAGAATGGGGGAGTAACCAATTCATTGACTAAATTAGAATAGAAAAGGATCTTGTCATAAGGAAATGTTGACCTAAGAATAATAAGATAAATTTAGTAAGAATAATAAGTTAACACCAATAACACTCATTACATTGGTTATTATACTCTAAATGCTATGTGTGTGTTAAATGCTATGTGTTACGAGATTGTCCTCATAACAGTTTCTTTGATATTTATTGTTGTTACTTTATTTTAGAAATTGAAGGACACAGAATAACTAATTTATTTTAGTTATGCTGCTAGCTTGTGGGAGAGCCAGAATTTGACCTTATAAGTCAGACTTAACTAGTGCATGACAATTCCTCCAAATGTAAAATGTGAATTTGTGTAAAAAACACTATGTGCACTGCTGGTGGGAATTCAAACTATGGAAACTGTTTGGAGATTCCTCAAACTGCTAAAAATTGAGCTTCCATATGACCCAGCAATCCCTCTCCTAGGTATCTTTCCAAAAGACACAAAAACACTGATTCAAAAAGATACCTGCACCCCCATGTTTATTGCTGCTTTATTTACAATTGGAAAGGCATGGAGACTGCCCAAATGCCCCAAAGTGGGTGACTGTATTAAAAAGATGTGGTACATATATACAATGGAATATTACTGAATAATCAAAAAAGATAAAACACATGCCTTTTGCAGCAACATGGATGGAACTGGAAAAGATCATGCTTAGTGAAATAAGCCAGAAAGAAAAGGAAAAATACTGGATAGTTTCTCTCATAGCAGGAATATAAAGGACCAGGCAAGAAAATAATAATAATAATGAACTACTATATACCAGAGACATTTTATGGGGATAGAAAGGGAATGGGATAAAAAACGGTTGGGGGAGGGAAATGCCCTGGACTGTGGTTATGGCACACGGGTGATTTGGTGAAGCCCACGGGTATTACAACTGAGATGGAAAACGGCACAAAATGATGTAAAAATAAACTATTATTAAAAAAAGCCACTATGTGTGTGTAGGATAGTTGAGATGTGGAAGAGACTTTAGAAAAGGCAGCTTCTTGGCTTTGCTGATGGCAGGGAAAAGATAGCTTACATCTTGGGCCGGTGCTGAGTTTATTCTTGTACACTAATTTTTCTTTTCCTTAAAAAAATTTTAGAAAACCCATACAATTACTCAGATTAAAAAAGTACTACCTTAATGATAAAATATCATCTGTACTCAAATACAAATTTTCATTTTATTAAAATACTTGAGACACAAATGAAAATATTATCACTATATTGTTAATTCTTGATTTTCTATAGTTCTCTAATTGAACATTTGAAGGACTCTGACATTGAATTGTCTCTTGTTTTAATTTTGTTAGCTTTGGCAAGTGGTTAGTTATGTTTTCTCACTTTCTAAAGACGTCTTTCGGTGTGTGCTGAAACAATGAGAAGATGATTATATGTTGCTTCCAGTAAAGCCTGTATTTAGGCCTTGAAGAGATACTTTAGGTGTGAAAAACAGTAGTAAATACCTTTCATCTTTGTATGGAAAACATTCAGTCTGTTTCCTAGGAGCAGTTGAGTGAAACATCTGTTTTAGTTAAATGCTGATACGTTTACCTATGCTGAGCGTCAAAGCTAGGAACATAGCCATGTTAAGGATCAGTGGTGAGAATGTCAGTCTTGAATATAAAAAAAAAATCTTTTAAATGACTTATTTTTGTTTTTCAAGGATATCAGAATAACTAGTCAAATTATGGTAGCTTAATTTATAGGAAAGAGTGCATTTAAATTTTTTATTCTACACCTGGAATTTCTTCTGGACTTTTATGCTTTTCAAATTAGTGTGTTAAACCACTGTTTTTGTTTTTTTTTTTTTTTTTTAGCATTTTATTCCAGGTATAGCTACAGAAAACCACATGTGTTTATTTTTTCTCACATGCCCTAAATAGTCTCAGTATCTCTGCTTTCCATTATGTCGGTCTTCCAGCTTCCTGTACTGTGGGCCAGAGCTCGCCATCTTAAGATCTAGTTGTTAGGCTTATTTATTGCTCAGGTTGCTGGTGGCAGGGAGGACAGCATGTGATTAAATGGGTTTATTATAGTGCCTTCATGTGGCAGGTTTTAGCACTTAATATACTTTAAACATGAAGATCGCAGTTTCTTACATTTTTGCATTTCTTTGGGCTTAGAACCTTATTCAGACATCAGCATTCACATTTTAGAGAAGTTCTCAAGCATCTTTATAAACCTCAGACCGTGCTTAGAAAATTAATTCCTTAACCTACTGTCCTTTTGTGATAGTCAGTGACATGTAAACTCTGAGTAACTGTACAAATGCTTTGAAATGAGAATTGACGTTATTTCAGAGGGGAAACTATGTCATTTGGACTTTCCCCAATTATCAGTTTTGAGAGTGGCCTGTTAACACTTAATTTCCTTAGTGGTGCACTGTTTTTTACTTCCTTTTTATATTCTGTTAGCTATTCATTTATTTTTTTAAATTCTTTTTTGTATGTCATTTAGGATGAAGTTTATTTTATTGCTATTAAGTTCTTTAAATATATTTTGCAACAATGTTTTTGCCTTTCCTGGCTTGTGGCCCAGTGGTGTTTAAATTAGAGAAGAGCTGATACATAGTGTGGCATCACTCACTGAAATGCCTTAGCATTCACAAAAGAAAAAGGATCAATTTACTAGTCTTTCATTATAATAGAAATGCAACTATTGCCACAGGACACTGGGACATCAATCTTCCTACTCACTGACATAAGCTATGTGGGCTTCTGTTTTTTGAAAGGTAGGTTTTGGCCTATAATTTAAAAGATAGATGTTAGAAGTAAGAAAATAATCTAGCACCACAGATGAGCTTTCCCAAATTTCCATTGTTAGTGTCTGTTTTTGAGAGTCGGAAACTGAAAAGTTTTCATTTCTTACAGCACCTTTTTCAATATTTATATAGCATTTTCTTTAGAAGACAATTTAAAAGTCATCTTGGGGCTAAAACACGTAAATTATGTTTTGCCCCATGTAGACAAAAGAAAATAGGAGAGGGATAGAGGGAGAGACAAGAAATAGTTGTTGAAAGATAACAGGTAGGAAACGCTTACAACTAATGTGTAGAGTTGGACAAGATATCCAAAGGGCAGTTTTTATTCTGTCTTTAATAGGAATTTTCTGCAAGCCTATATTTTGCTTACTCAGCACCACAATGCAGAGAAGTCTCTCCATATCTTCGGAAATTCAGACTAATGTTTGTCATAGTACTTAATAAGTATGTATGAAAGAGGTAAGATTTACCCTGGAAAATGTTTCTAGTGCTTTAACAGTAAGAAGAATTTAAGCTACTATTTTAAAATCATTTTAAAATTTGATTGTTGGTTTCATTGCTACAATTTCATAAATATATATATTTTAGTTTAAAGAGATGTTTTGGCTCTTTTTATTTAAAAGTGTGTGCCTTCAGCATAGTATTTTCAGGGTAGCTGCTAAAAATGCCTGTTTGATTGCTAGATTGATCCAGAGGACTTTGGGGGAGAGTCTTCTATTGTTATTTGGGATGAAAAGTCACTGTATAGGATGTTTTGAAGTGCCAAAGGATGTTTTGCATTTTAAAGTTGTTACTATGTGAGCTGGAGTTCCAAGGCGTAACAGGGGAAACAAAATAGGAGATTCGTTTATTTGTGTGAACTCCTCTTACTCTTAGGGTGGCAGTGAAATATAATGAACTATGTAATACTGCTAATAGGAAGTATACAAGCTCCTAGATTGTTGGTTGTACTGTTCTCCAATTAAAGTAACCGTGACATTTTGAAGAAATGGTTGATTATATGGCTGGGACAGGAAGTAAGAAAGTGATCCACAAAGTCAGGGTGGTTTCATGTCAGAAGGATCTAGGAACCAACTGAAAGTGCTCCTAATAACCAAAGTTGCAACAGTTTGAGCCACCCTATAAATAATAGATCATAACCCAAAGAATAAATATCCACAACTCTGTACTGCTATCAAGGAATATAGGAGAGGAGGGACTACATTGTTAGTATGTCCTAAGATTAATTTTAGTGGGTATGTGGAGATTCTCACAGCCAAGTCCTGGGTACCAGTAGGAATTTTAAGAGTTCAGCTCCATTCTCACACTACCTACCTGAAGATAGCATCAGATTCCATAAGTTAAGGACTCAGTCTTAGGACTATCCTTCACTTCACACACTGACTGCAAGTCTGTGCTTCTGACTAACTGACAATACGTCAGAGGTCTCCACAATTCCTTTTCTAGACTTCTTGTGCCCTTTGTAAACTCAGAATAATTATTAATTTTGCTTCTGTTCTAACCAACTGTCTATAAATCAGAGGTTCCCAAGCACCTTCCACAGGTTCAGTTCATTTGCTAGAGCTGCATGTAGGACTCAGGAAACCCGTTTACTTACTAAATTACCCACTTATTACAAAGGATACTAAAGGGTATGAATCAACAGCTAGATGAAAGAGATGCACAGGGCAAAGTGTGGGGAAAAGTTGTGGAACTTGTATGTCTTCTCCAGGCATGGCATTGACCGTATCTTCCCCAAACTTTCATTGACCACTGGTGTTCAGTTACTCAGAATATCTCTAAAGTCCCTCCTTTTGGGGATTCGTATGGAGACTTCATTACATAGGCTTGACCAGTTAACTTATTGGCCATTGGGAATTGACCTAAACACTCCACTTCTTTTCCCCTCTGGTAAGGTCAGGAGATAGGACTGGAAGTTCCAAACCTCATTTCACTAGGCCAGGTCCCTGGCATACAGCCTACCTTCCTCTCATGTTTTACAAAAGTTACCTTAATTAACATGGCAAAGGACACCTTTAACACAGTCAGTATTTAGGAAATGGAAATCTTTTGGAATCTTTGAGTCAGAACCAGTGGATAATGACCAAATTTTAGTCATCGGTATAATAGAAATATATATATTTTTAATAAGTATCATTTAACAGGAGCAAATCTTTTCTTACAGAAGAATTCTAATTAGTAAATGTAGGAGAAATGAGAGAAATAGAAACTTGCCACTAGAATACCACAGAAATAATTACTTAGATAAAATCTATTGATGAATGGTAAAATTAATAGTAATATTTTAGGGTAAAAAAGAAATCCCCCAAATATTTATTGCGTATGGTGGTTTTAAGAGCTGTCCAAGATTCTGTGATAGTTCTTACTAAAAGAAGTGGGTGATATCAGGGATATCTTTAGGAGACTCTTATAGCTGTGTAGGTAAGGAAGAAATGTTGATTTGGCATACAGGGTTGTAGTGGAAATAATGGGCAGGGGTATGTCTGTGGATAGACAGCTTTTTTGATAGTTTGGATGCAGTATGTGAGAGAAACAAGAGTAAAGTATGATTTGCTAGGTTTTGCCCTCACCATTTAGAAGGTAGATTTGGCATTTGCTGAAATGGAGACGTTTTTGGAGTAACAATTAAAAACTTGCTTTTGAATATGTTAACCTTTAAGATACCTCTTTGATACCTAATTGGAGGTGTTGAATGGGCAGTAAGATTATTCTGGAATTTAGGGAAAATAGAAGACCGCATCTATATACTTTTAAGATTTGAGATAAGGTTTAGGAAGAGGAGACACAGAGAAAGGCAGGTGTGGGTTGGAAAGGGAGCACTCTTGAACTTTAAAAGTTGGTCATTGAGAATTGATGGGTAGACTGGATAAGGAAAGTAAAGTGAAGAAAATGTTTTTAAAAGCAGAACATCATTGTTGTCAAATATTGTCACTAAGTTAAATAAGATGAGAATGAAGAAATTACGTTGAGGTTTGGCAATGCAGGGGAATCAGATAAACTTGGAAAGAAAACTTGGTCTGTGGTTCTGAAAGGGATTGGAGTAGATTCTGGAGTAGGCCTACACAGTTGTAAGAATTAGATCAAGTAGTTAGAGTTTTGCTGTGAAGGAGCATATTCAGTAGGATGACTTCATTTTAAAATGAGGGCTTTGTATGGCTTTATATATATAATCAGTAGGAGATGCCCTGCCATACTAGTTAAGAATTGTTTTGTTTTGTTATTTGAAAGAAAAGTTACTCAAATTCTCTGAATTTGGTTTCATTGAAATTAATAGTGAAAGTGATACTGCATAAGATTAAATGAGCTCATACTTTTTGCAGAACATTCTAGTGAACTAGTCAGCATTCTAGATGCTGTTTGACACCTTTCTGGATCTTGGAAGAAAATACTATAATTATAATACTATAATTTATTCAGACAAGGGAATAAACAGTGTGCATACTTTCCTGTAGATTTCTGTTTAATTCACTAGCAGCTGAGGTATATAAAACAACTTTTCCTTTATTAATACAAGAGAACAGATTTTAAAAAATCAGCTAAAAATTAACAGTAGTAGTTTTGGGAGGGTTTGGTGCTGGGTGGTATGGATGAGTAGAGCAAAGAACATTTAACTTCTTCTACCAGAAGGTGGTAGCTTCACATTTACATAAGTTTATTTACTAGTGAATTTCATACTAGTGTTTTTATTTTCTCTAGACTGATTTGGTGAACATTAAATGCTTTCTTGACACATTTCATATTGTTTGGGGGTTGAGTTGGTTCATAACATAGGAAAGTTATTTTTGTCTTCATTTTCCAATTAGGCTCTATTTTTATTTGTTTGTTAAGAATAGTCTTAATGCATTTTTCATAGCTGCTAAAAATAAAGTAATAAGTGATATCTTTAGGCTACAACTAAGTTTGCTGGGCTCTGCTCAAATTCTTTACCTTTGGCAGGCTCTCTAGTAATTGCTAAATATCTCATGCTTCATGTAATTACTTAAGTTTCTTAGACTTTTAACTCAAAAACTGTATAGATTTCATTTTAATGTAACTCTTGGACTAAAACTTACCAGCAGAATGGCTTTTATTGTTATTTGTGTTCTCAAAAAAGGTCTTAAAAACAACAAAAAATGGGTGGATTTCTTTTCTTTTACTTTGAGCATTTTTTTAATAATAGTTTATTTTTATATCATTTTGCATATATATATATATATATGTATGTATGTATGTATATTTTTTCATCTCAATTGTAATCCCTGTAGGTTTCCCATCACCAAGTCACCCATGTGCCATCAAGGTGTGGATATTTTTTAAACTCCTAAATTTAATTGCTACAGTCAGTGATACTAATCTAGTAGCATTAATTTCTGGTCTTGCCGTTATAATAAAGTTAATAGCATAAATAAAATTCATTAATATCAAAAGAGATGAATTTAAAATTCTGAAACTATGAAGCATAGTGAGTAACTGAGCTCTGTATGGCTTCCATTTGCCCCTCTGAATTCTCTTTAAGGCAGATAGCTTCTCTGATCAAGAAGATTTTAAACTAAGGAATTTTCTGGGTTTCCTGAAAATTTTTTTTCTTAAGGAAATGACCAGAAATTAACTTATTTTCACTTAAATATGAGGTGAAGTGAGGAACTCTTGGTTTTTTATGTGGTGGTAGATGTTTTTAGTGTATGTACTGTTTAATTCTTTGTTTGTCTTTCCCTTTCTACTTCAGAGTCTGATAAAGAGGAGAAACCACAAAGTGCTGTTATACCCAAGGAAGTGACACCAGCTCTGTGTTCACTAATGAGCAGCTATGGTAGCCTCTCAGGGTCAGACAGTGAGCCGGAAGGTAAGTCATGACTACCTCAGTGATTGCATGTAGGCTAGTTCTGTTTTGTTGCTCTTTACCTTTGATATTTACCAATCAGTACCATCCATTCATGTGTGTGTATCAGAGGGGCTAGGTATGACATGTATATTCTTTATTTGATATCCAAATTCTTTTCTCATTTGATTCAGAAGTAAAGTTAACATGTGGAATAGGGAGCCTGGGGAAATGAAAGAAATATTTTGCTACTGTTGAGAAAAAGGCAAAACATTAATACAGTGAACGAATAGGAAGGTTAATAAATAATACCTGCTATGGGTCAAAGAATACTGTAAGTAAAACAGCAAAGAAAGCTAATTTCTTCTCTCTGCTGTCAAGAGAATTATTTTAACATGTTTGTTTGCAACTTCAGTAGGTCGAGAGGGATTGTTATTACAACAAAAGATGATAGAATTCCTTTAATATAGAGCATTATTTTTTTCTAGAACACATTTACAAAAATTATCTTGGATGGAGAACACAGTGACCCTGTACTTGTGATTGCATTAGCATGTGCGTTTTAAAGGTTGGAAGAAACGGAATCTTTTCAGGTCCGAAAGTGAGCAATTTCAGGATTCATGTCTTATTTTTAAAGATGATGATGATAAACCAGCTTAATCTCTAGTTTCACTTACAGGATTGCCTGAAAGAACAGTGACTTGTGTGTTAATCTGTGGCACTGTGGCAATTCTTAACCCAAGGTTCATATTTACTAATTCTGCATATGTCTAGCAAACATAAACTCATGTAGTAGAAACCTGGCTTCATGTGGTGATTTTATTTATATTTTACGAACCGTGAGAAATTTCAGGACAAGTTGTTATAATCACAAGAAAAGGAATTTTAAAAAATCATTATTAAAAAAAAGGTGTATAATCACAGTAGGAGCTATTCAAAAAGTAAGGATACAGGGTTTAAAGGTGTCTATGTAGAATAAAGGAAAGGTTTGAATGTAGTTGGATAAAGATTACATCACTCTTCTTGTTGACTGAGCTACAGGTGATTAATGTTTGTGTAGTTGGAAGATGGTGAAGAAGGAAGAATTGAGCTTTTATATGAAATACAATGTTTTTTTGTTTTTTTTTTTAAGATTTATTTATTTGTACATACAGAACCGGGGTACAGGCTAGAGGCTCAGGGGTGGTGAGAGACTTCACCAGAGACAGAGTGGGGAGCAGAACAGGCAGATCGACGAAGTACACTGCTGAGGGGAGCAGCGGGTGGGTCAGGAGAGGTCTGCCACACCATGTGGTCACCTCCCGGGTGGGCGGAATCGAACTCATGAAGAAGTGGCTTTAGCTTCTCAGTGCAGTGCTTTAACCCGCTGTGCCACCAGGGAGGGCCCCAATGTTTTTCTTTTTTAATGAGCTGTAGTTTTCAATGAGCGCTTATTAAAACCTGAAGTTTGAAATATAAACTACTTTGGATTTTCAGATTATTTCATAATAGATGGTTACTTCTTAAATTTTTTTAATTTTAAGAAAAACAGTATTTATTTCCTTACTCTTGTTTCTAAAACACTGAAATGAAGATGGAGTTATCTTTAAAGACATATTACATTTCCTGCTTATCAGTTCTATTTATGACAGGTGATAGCAAAGAAAGCTATTACCAGATTACTGAATCCCATAAAATCAAGCTGTATTTACTATCTTCTCTCTCCTCAAGATAAATTGTGTTTATATTTGTGTCTTCATTTTGAGACTGTCACCATTTTTGAATTAGAAGGAAGAAATAAAACTGAAAGGGATCACAGATATCCTACCCTTGTATTTAATGTAACCTTATTCGAGGAGAGGTTAAGTTTGAAAAGCTAGTATGTCGCAGAATTCATGTAAAACTGAGGTTTAGGGACTGAAAAATCTAAGGAAGCCAACTATATTGTCTTCCGTTTTATTCTTTTTCTGCCTGGCACTTTTAATTTTCCTGAATAGAAATGCATCCCCTTTTCTTCAAGATAGCAGACAATATTATCTCTTAAAAGATATATTTGATTTTGTGTGAATCTATTTTTAATTGTCCTACCTTAAGGAAATAACTCTTGCTTTACATTCTTAAGCCTTAAGAATTGTTTATTTAGTTTGAATTCAGCTTTAATAAACCATCCAGGTCACTAACACAAGCCTTCAGTGTTAATTTTGGATATGGGTACACAGGGACCTTAGAATAAATAAACCAAGGAAATCTAGTAGTCATTCTCTGAACCATGAAATGGCATCAGCAAGATTGCTCTGTGGATTCTAAATGGAGAGGAGCAGCTTGAGGTTTTTTTATTTTATTTTTTTTTTTATACAGAATTTAACAGCTGTGTCTTCACAGTTAAGATCTATCTCAGTTTAGGAATTAACATAATGTTTATAGAGGATCTTAAGGCTGAGTAGTATATTTCCAGAAAGTTTTAACAAGGAAGGGGTCCCTTGAGAAGGATAAGCAAAAAGAAAGGCTATCCTGCGTTCTGCAGCTGTCAGAATCATTACACATGGAAAGAAAATTTCACCGAGTATTATGTCCAAATGGGTTAGTTTGGTAGCTTGGGTTTGTATGTGAATTTTTTGAGTATTTGGAAGTGTGTGTGTGCTTTGGCCAGTAAATGATGGAACTAGATCTTGAACCTAACAGTTTGAGTCCAGAACTGTGCTTCTAAAACTTAACATCTACTTCTTTTCAAATGTAATTTCCATATTCAAATCCTTTATAATGCTGGAGTATTGAGGGTTTTGAAGCATCTGATTAGATTCCCTATGTTCTTGTTTAGCCAGCTGAACCTAGTTTCTCATCTTTTAGAATAGAATTTTTTATGTTACACCAGCCTATAATTTATGGTAATCAAAATATAAAATAACTTTTGGGGCTGGGCAGAGGAAACTCCTGTTTCAAAACATGAGAATTGTCAGCTAATCTATGGTCTTTATAATACTAAATGGTGAAATACATTGATTTTCAAATGTCAAATCAACCTTGTATTTCTCAGATAAAATCTTGGTCATGTTATATATTACCTGTTTCTAAAGATTTTTGCGTCCATGTTCATGAGGGGTATTGGTCTGAATTTGGTTTGAGCAGGATCTCTTTTCTTTTTAAAGGATTTGGATAGAACTGCTATCATTTTTCTTGTTTGTAGAATTCAAAAGTTAAACTATGTGCACTTGGTATTTTCTTTGTGAATTTTAAACAATTAATTAAATTTCCTTAATTTACGGTTACTCAGATTTGCTTTTTTAAAGTCACTTTTGGTAATTTTTGTTTTTTTATAGATCTTCACCTAAGTTTTTTTGACATCTGATAAAATTGTTTACAGTTTCTCCTCATATTGTTAATTAGTATTCTGTTACTTTTTTTCTTGCTCTGTTATGCTTTGTGTTAATTTTATTAATCTTTCATATAGCCAACTTCTGCCTTGTTGATTATTTTTTTGTCACCTATTATTATTTCTCTGCACTGAGTTTTAATCTTATTTCTTTCCTGTTGCAGTTGGAACTTGGGTGACTGATTTTAGACTTCTTTTCATTTCTGCTAAGCATTCAAGTTCTATACATTTACTTTCATGCATTACTTTTAACTACATCTCACAGATATAAATACTCGGTGTTTTCATTTTTATTTTAAAATCTTTTCTAGTTTTTATTGTGATTTGTTCTTTAATTAAACTCATATATTATTTAGAAGTATGTTGTTTAGTTTCCAAATATTTGGAGGTTTTCTGGCTAGTTTTCTGTTACTGATTTTACTTTTGATTCTGTTATGACCAGGGAACATACTCTGTGCTTTCAGATTTTTTACGTTACTGAGGTTTGCTTTATAGACCAGCACAAGGTAAATATTCATGTGAAGTTGTCAAGAACATATATTGGATTGAGCCCTTTCAGTTGAATACTAGGTCTTCTGGATCCCTGCTCATTTTCTATCTAGTTCTTTAATTACTGAGAGTAGAGTGTTCAGGTCTCCAACCTTAATAATGGATTTGTCGTTTTTCTTTTCAGTTCTCTGAGTTTTTGCTGCATATATATAGAAATTCTGTGTGTAGGTGTTAACTGTTTTATCTTTTTGATGAATTGATCTTTCTCATTATAAAACTGTTTCTGGTGATAATTCCTGTTCTGAAATATTCTATTTCTGATATTGTAGCCACTCCAGCTTTATAGCTGTTGTATGCATTATTGTCTTCTTCCATCCTTTCTCTTTTATCCTGTGACTTTCAGTACTCATTCTGCTTCATTCTTTAGTAACTGAAATTTAATCTCACTTTAAATTGTGCAAAACAAGGATGGCCCACAGTTAAGTTTGGTTTCTTACAGAAATCATGTAGTTGGCCTTGTTGTTTATTGCCCCCCCCATCTGACCACTCAGCTTTCAGATAATTGGGGTGTTTAAACTGTTTACATATGACACAGTTTGTTTATATGTGCTTCATTTGTTTTTCTGTTTTGTTCTTTTCCTGCCTTTGAATTAATCCTGTTATTTGTGGGTTGTTACTTTTTTAATGCCAAGATTGGTTTATTAGGTGGTACTTCTTAGGAGTTGGTCTAGAGTTCATAATACATAACTTATTAGGATATATTTTTAAATGATACTTTTGAATAATATATCATTTCATATAATTTAAGATTATGACATGATACTCACATTTTTCTATTTCCTTCCTTGTGTCATTGTCACTATTGATTTTATTTCTATAGATGTTAAAAACCTTAGCTACATTAGCCTAAAAATTCAAATGAGAGGAAAAGCGTTTTTGTTTTTATTTACATGTTACTGTTCCTGGTATTTTTTATTCCTTTATGCAGATCCAAATTTCCATCTAGCATTAGTTCATTCATAGAGTAGTTTTTTTGTGATAATCTTCTCAGTTCTTGGCAGTTATGGCTCTCAACTTGAAAGGTATTATACATTTTACATGCCTACATGCCTAATTTTAATTAGTAAGTAGTTAGTATTAGATGGGAAGGAGGGGGAAGATTATCAAGACTTTTTGTGTTATTTTGGAAGCTTTACCTTCATGTGCAGCATGTGTGTTTGCTTAATCACATTTAGAAGCTCCTGTCAAGACTGAAGCAGATGTTCTGGCAGAAGACCGGGTTCTTCATAGCAGCACTCCTGAGATACCAAGTCAAGATGTTAAAGTGACGGTTAGGAATTTCTCCGAAGCCAAGAATGAGAGCCGAAAGAAAAGTTTTAAACAGACAAATTGTAAGAGGAAAAAAGATTATAACAACTATCAAACATTATTTGAGCCAAGAACACACCATCCATATCTCCTGGAAATGGTAAGTGATTATTCTTTACCTTCTCATCTTTGTTTTTCTCCTGTCATAAAGATAGAGCTACCGCATTTGCAAATGCATGAGTGTTTTAAGGTAACCTAGAGACATATGTTATGCACCTTGAAGACTCATCTGTGTTTCTTAATCCTTCAGTTGTACCTGGCATATGTAACTAACTGAAGCACAGTAAATGTGGAGTAATTGCATTTTAAAAACTAATTAAAATAAGCAAATCTAGATTTAACTGGTTGGTAAAGAAATGCATATTGAGGTGTACTTAACTTTTTTTTTTTACATTTTTATTGTAAGCACAGATATAGTGGGAAACTGAAGGTAGAAAAAAAGGTGTTTATTTTGTGCATTATTGCCTTTGTTTTCAATGCAGTGTACTAAAAATATTTTCTTAAAGTTATGAAGAGGAAGCGGTTCATCTTTTGACTCTAAGTAATGGAAATAAAACTTTAAAGATTAAAGATTTATATTCTAAGAGTGATAGAAACATTCCAGTTTCTTAGTGGAGTCACAAAAATATCTATTGATAGTCCGTGAAAAGACTGTTTTTGCCTTGTCAGTTAAGGTTGTGCTGTAGCTAAAGTATTCTGTGGCTACAGTCTGTGATAGTTACTTTTTATTAAAATTGATCTGCAATATGCTCTCTTTTATAAATTTCTGTGCTATATAAAGTAAATGAATTTTTAAAATGTTCATCTTGTAAGTAGTAAATTAAATCATTTTTCCATAGAGCATGTCTGGTGTTTCCAAACATCAATAACATCGAGAAATAAACTGAGTAGTCACTTTATATCCTTTTTCAGTGAGTCACATGTGATTCCTTGTACTTACTGTAAATACCAGAAATTTTTGTCTTTCTTTCAATTACAGTAAACAACAAGATGAGAAGTTGCAAAAGTCCTGGAAAGTTTTTTTTTTTTTTTTTTAAAGATTTATTTATTTGTGCATACAGAACTGGGGTACAGGCCAGAGGCTCAGGGGAGGTGAGAGGCTTCACCAGAGACAGAGTAGGGAGCAGAACAGGCAGATCGAGGAAGTACACTGCTGAGGGGAGCAGCGGGTGGGTCAGGAGAGGTCAGCCACACCATGTGGTCACTTCCGGGGCAGGCGGGAATCGAACTCATGCGGAAGTGGCTTTAGATTCTCAGTGCAGTGCTTTAACCCGCTGCGCCACCAGGGAGGGCCCGGAAAGTTGGGTTTTTTTAACTGCTAGTTTTACTTATTTTGTATTTACCATATATCATTATAGATTTGGATTTGGAATTTGACATAATTTTTACAATAAAGAATTATAGATTTTTAAAACTATTTTCCCTTAAACTTATTTTCCCTCTTAGATTTTATTAGAGAGGACCCCAATTGTGTGCATTTGTGTTTGGAAAGCTATATAATCTTGGTGTATGTCAAAAGGAAGTGTTCTTGTATTGTTTTTCAAAAAAAAAGGTGATTATTTTAGGGCCTTACCTGGTGGGGTAATAGGGTAAAGCTCAGCCACTGCAGCATGAGTTCAATCCCAGACCAGGGAGCTGACCAACATGGCGCAGCAGACCTCACCTGTCCCTCCCCCGTTTCCCTCAGCAGTGTACTTCGTTGATCTGCCTGTTCTGCTCCCCACTCTGTCTCTGGTGAATCCTCTCACACCCTGCACCTCTGGCCTATACCCCAGTTCTGTATGCATAACTAAATATCTAATCTTTAAAAAAGTAATTAGTTTATATAATAAACATCTTTGTTCTGTGTTCTTTGTGTGGGGAAGGCATGCAATATTTTAGAATATATTTTATATTATATATTTTATTTACAAACTAATCTTCTTATTTATTGTTTTTTTTAGCTTTTAGCTCCAGACATTCGACATGAAAGAAATGTGATTTTGCAGTGTGTTCGGTACATCATCAAAAAAGACTTTTTTGGACTTGATGCTAATTGTGTGAAAACTGAGAATGTGTAGGTATCTGATAATTGAGGCATGTGAAATAGTAACATTCTCAAATTAGTAAAGAAAAGCCTTTTTTATAAAAAATTGGATTAGAATTAAATTGTAAATCTCATGGAATATTATGTTGAATTTTTAAGTGTTTCTTTGAATCTATGCAAATAAATACATAGCTGATTTTTATGATTGTGTCTGTATTGTTGGGATTATTCATATTTACAGGCAGAATTCTGCTTTTTATTTGTATTTATATATACTCCTGTTTTGTAAGGAAGTCTGCTCTTAGCAGTACTGAATACAACTGGTGTAGTCATAAAGAGAAAAGTTTTACAAATGTTAAATGCATCTGAGCATTGCTGTAGGTTGGAGAGAGAAATAAAACCATTCTGTTTTATGAGATGGAAGTCATCTTTAACTAGCAAGGGAAAATATTTTACAAGTAAACCAGATAAAATTATTAATATAATCAGAAGGCTTTGAAATTTAAATTTCCTGTTGATTTAAAAAGATATGTTAAAACTTACTTATTGGCACTACTTTAGAAAGCTCAAATAGCAAATATTTAAAATGCTAGTATAGACACCACCTCTGTCTATATTTAGATTCAACTGAAGAGGGTTTTGTGGTGGTGTTTTTTTTTTTTTTAATGACTCAGAATTGGACCTTTCTTATTTCCCTGTGGAAAAGTATGTTTAGTGCTTGATGAGGTTTAACTAATTTTTATAGCAGAAATAGTAATTTGTAAAGTAATATTACCTCAATTTTATGGTTTAATCAGAGCTTATCCTATGAAGAGAGTAATTGAACCCTTTTAAAATGCTTTAAATAAATAAAAGCTACTAAAACCAGTTTGCTGTAATGCCATAGATTTTGATCTTATAGTCTAGTCACTTGTGCCTAGCCAAGAGCTAGAGGTCTATCCTTTTGACATACAGCTAAGAGAGGCAAAGTTTTTAAAAATTTGTTACAATTGAAAAATTAATTTTATCTGAAAATGTTATAACTGAAATTCATCTTGCCTGCAAGAAGAAAAAAGGCAAGGCAAAGTGATAGCTCTCAAGAAAGATCTCTTGTTCCTCCATGTAAGATCCTATCCAGAATTCTAGAAAGCTTGGCGTATAGCACTATGGCATCACAGACTGAGATGTCATGTTAACTGCATGTTTCAGTCAGTGTTTCCCAATACTGGCCTTTTTGTTCTGTTTTACTCTATTCCCTCAACAAGCCCCATATTTTGGAAAATCATCCATTCCAGTTTGTGAATTGATTCAGTTCATAAAATACTATTGTGTGCTTGTTCATGTGCCACCATTGTGCATGGGCTAAATATGTACAAGTGGATAAAGCATTGCCTGACTTTGGGGAACTCAGTTCACTTTTTATATCACTGAAAGTATGACTCCTACCTAACCCAATTCATCTCATAAGGATGAAGTAAAGGATGTTACACACTGCACTGATAATCTAAAATGTGACGTTGCAGTTGTACTGGTTACCATGCAAATTCATTTAAATACATAAATGAGTTCACAGACTCCTGGGCCACTTTCACAAATACTGTCTCCAGGGATGTTGACAGTCATTGCCTTAAGCTGTTTTGTGGAAATATTTATTTCAGTCTTTCTTGTTTTCTAATAAATGTATTGAAGAATGAAAATGTTCCTTTATGACTACCTTGAACTATGTTGGACATTCTTTAGCTGTGGTGACTATTGCTTATGTCTAGTGGGTAATTTTCAATTTAATTGCCCTTATATTTCACCTAGGAATTACTGAAGTACACCCCAAATTTTCAGGCATGTAAGGTGTAACCTTAATAGTAGTTTCTACTTGTTAATTGTTCATCTCTACATTCCTGTCTTTTTGTTCATCTAATCATTCTCTTTCTACAGTGTAATATGACTTGGTAAATTGTGCCTTTTGTAAATGAAGTATGCCTTTTTGTCCTCAATACTTTCTACAGTCTCTGTTTTCCCTAGTTAAGGTTGTCAAAACAGCCTTTTGGGGTTTCAGTATGAGATTTTTTTGAGAAATCTAATCCCTTCATATTAATTGAGTTGTTGAAATAGTTGGACAATTGTTGCCAGCTTGTTTTGTATTTTTTTTTATATATTGTGCTTTTTCATTGTTGATATTATTGACTTCATTGTTATTTTTGTCTTTTTTCCCCCTGGAGTGCTTTGGAAATAATGAAATCTGTTGCTGCTTTCCTTTAATGTGGGGACTCTTTCCCTCTGTGTTCAATAAGTAGCCCTGTCACCACCCAACTTTTAACTAAGTCAATAACTTTAGTATTCACTTCTCAACCTGTACTTCTTATATAATTGTGGGGGTTTGTTTCAGATTAATCTCTGTTCTCTTACTGTATGTGTTTGGGTTTTAACATTATACATTGTTGTATAGGCAACTTTTTTACAGTTTACTTCTGACTACTTTTCTTGTATCTAGGACTAATTTTTTGGTTTACTGCAGATTATCATCAAGTAATCAAATGTTGAATCCTCCATTTTTTAAAAATAATACAGTCATTTACATCATTTTGTGCCCTTTTCCATCTCAGTTGTAATCCCTGTGGACTTCCCATCACCAAATCACCTATGTGCCATCACCTTAGTCCAGTGCATTTCCCACCTCCCACCGTTTTTGATTCCATTCCCCACTCCACCCCTGTAAAATGTCCCTGGTATATAGTTGTTCATTAGTATTGTTATTTTCTCGTCTGGTCCTTTATACTCTTGCCATGAGTGAAACCATCTGGTAGTTTTCCTTTTCTTTCTGGCTTACTTCACTAAGCATGCTCTTTTCCAACTCTATCCATATTGCTGCAAAAGGCATTTTTTTTGGCTTGTGAGTAATATTCCATTGCGTGTATATACCACATCTTTTTAATCCAGTCATCTACTTTTGGGCATTTGGGTTGTGTTGAATCCTCCATTTTTAAGTTGAGTATTGAGTATTAGGTTCAGTATCATTCCTTTCACAATTTTGAAACTATAATGTGATTGTACACTAAAGTCAGATTGCAGATTTCTAATCTGATTCTCTTTTCCTCATAGTCCTTTCCTTCTGAGGAATTGTACTTTTTTGGACTAAGAGCAATTACTAAAATGATATGTTTAGTCATGTTCTTGCCATTTTATCATTTCATTTTTCTGGAACTCTTGCCAAGTGAATATGGGCCTTTGTGACTTGATTCTCTGTCATTGGATTTTTATGTTTTGTCTTTGTCATCTTGTTGTGTTCTTAAATTTTTGTTCTTATTACTTTTTCATAGATGTAGTGGCCTTATCCTTTCTGAGTACACCACTTAGAATTTTCTGTTCTTTGATTTATTTCTATTGTCTACATTGTCAGTTCTATGTTCAGCTGAGTAGTTATTTCTACTGCTATTTGCCGTCCTTAATTAAAAGGTCACTTTTTACGTAAGGAAGAGTTTAATTTGATTAATATATTAATGGTTGGTATGGATTTTCTCACATTTGTATAAAACTTCTTTTCTCCAACAGCCTGTTACTTTAACTTAGGAAAGGGAACTTGTTAAGGGAGACTCTTTATAACAAAAGGATGGGAATGGGCAGGAAAATGAAGGCTCTTGGTCCATCATCACTCCCATCTCTTTGCCAAAGCACAAAGGAATTTACTGCCGATGGTGTTCTTCTCTCCTAGGTTATCTCCCACCCCCAACAACCACTTGGTTTTGGATGTGGATAAGGTTAGGCCTCCAGTTTTTTGACATTTGTTGTTTCTGAGCTGAGTCTATCATGAAATTACCCCTTCAGTTGTGTCGGGGGCTGGGTTGAATGAGACTCCCCTCACATTTTGTCAGCCTGATCAGCTTTACAGTGTTTCTCAAACTTCAGTGGATATCAGAATCATCAGAGGGTTTGTTAAAACCCTTATTGCAGGACCCTATCTCCAAAGGTTATAATTAAAGAGGATTGGGATGTTACCTGAGAATTTGCATTTCTTACAAGTTTCCAGGCGATGCTGATGAGGTTTGTCTGAGGGACCACAGTTTGAGAATATTAGGAACTTAGGAGGACTTTCTCAAAACCATTGGTATTCCCAATACCATTCTATATCTTGTATTCCTCTACTGTTGTAATTCTTCAGTTCTTTTTAAAATAGATCACTTCAAAGAATTTAGAATGTAAAGAGCAGTAGTCAGTAATTTTAATCTAGATTTAACTGAATGTAATCATTATATTCCTCAGTTTTTGCTTTGTTTTATGAAATTACCATTGGTCCCAGATTTATCAATAGATTCAACGTTACCTTAACCAGAAGTTAAATGGGATTCCTTCACAAATGTGTTAGGTTGGTTTTAAAGCTCATTCTGAAAGAATAAGAAGTTTTTCATTTGCTACACCAAATGTCAGAACACAATAGGAAACTAGAAAGTAAACAGTATGGTGCTTAGCTAAATCAGTATTCCAGACAGATTCAGATGTTTCCCTTCACTCCCATCCTTAATTTCCACCTCCTCCCTTAGCCTTGGAGCTTTTACATTATTGATGGCCACTGGTTCTTGAAAACTTTGTTTTCAAGTTGCCTGCTATGAAAATGTTCAGTAGTTGTTTGTATTGTTTTAACTTGCTTTACTACACATAATTAAAACTCCCTTTATTTTGTTGGAAATTGCTGTTTGATTCTTGGTATGGCTGAATAGTACTCCAGTTGTGGACACCTCTGCTTGAGCCAGTCATCTGTGGATGGACACATTTAGGCTGCTCCTATGTCTTAGCTATTATAAGTGGTTCTGTTGTGAACATCATGGGACAAACAGATTTTTGTGTTGGTGGTTTCTTTTCTTTGGGTAGATGTTTAAGAGTGGCATTACTATGCTTTACAATATTGTAGATTTTTTTAAAGATTTATTTATTCATACAGAACTGGGGTACAGGCCAGAGATGTGGTGGGTGAGAGGGTTCACCAGAGACAGAGTGGGGTACAGAACAGGCAGATCAACGAAGCACACTGCTGAGGGGAGCAGCGGGTAGGTCAGGAGAGGTCTGCCAGCACATCATGTGGATCTCCTCCGGGGGCAGGAGGGGATCGAACTCATGCGGAAGTGGCTTAAGCTTGTTAGTGCAGTGCTTTAACCCGCTGCGCCACCAGGGAGGGCCCAACAATATTGTAGATTTTTAAGATAAATCAAGATTGATGCCCAAATAGTTGTACC